TACGTCACGTCAACAAGGGGAATTCAATGTAGAATGGAAGTGCTTGTATAACAAACAGCAGATTCCAATAAAAAGCCCTCTTGCCAACTTAAATCCAGTTATTGACAGTTTTGGCTTGCTCAGAGTAGGTGGTCGTTTGAATCAAGCCCACCTAGGCGTTGCAGAACAAAATCCTCTCATCATTCCCAGCAAACACCATATCACCGTCTTGCTGATCCGACACTACCACAAAAAGACTGAACACCAGGGCAGGCAAATCACTGAGGGCAAGTTACGGTCTGCTGGCCTTTGGATTATAGGTATGAAAAGACGTGTGGCCCAAGTATTGCATGACTGTGTTCACTGTCGCAAAGCTAGAGGAAAACAACTACACCAACAAATGGCTGATTTGCCTGCGGACAGACTATGTACAGAGCCGCCTTTCACCTACATTGGCCTAGACGTTTTTGGGCCATGGATGGTGTCCGCACGCAGGACTCGTGGCGGTCACGCAAACAGTAAGCGTTGGGCTGTACTATTTACTTGCATGAGTGTGCGAGCCGTTCACTTAGAGGTCATAGAATCCATGGACACATCCAGCCTTATTAATGCCTTAAGACGGTTCTTCGCAATCAGAGGACCAGTGAAACAGTTGAGGTCTGACCGTGGAAGCAACTTCATTGGAGCCTGTAGAGAACTGAACATAGACACCAAATCCATTCAAGATCACTTGGCAGAAAAGGGTTGCACCTGGATTTTCAATCCTCCTCATAGTTCCCACATGGGGGGCTCCTGGGAGAGAATGATCGGGATCTCACGCAACATCTTGAATTCTATGTTGATGGATGTAAACTCTTCAAGACTCACACATGAGACTCTAGTCACCCTTCTCGCTGAAGTTTCAGCCATCATCAATTCTAGACCCCTCGTGCCAGTATCTATGGATCCTGAAACACCAGCTGTACTGACTCCAGCTATCCTACTTACCCAAAAAACTGAGATTACGCTAATACCTAGTGGAGAATTTACTCATGCGAATATCTACCAAAAACACTGGAAACGTGTACAATACCTAGCTGATTACTTCTGGAACAGGTTGCGAAAGGAGTATCTCAATATTCTTCAAGGAAGAAGAAAGTGGCAACACCACAAACCAAACCTAAAAGAAGGTGACCTCGTGTTGATGAAGGAGCAACATACCGTACGGATTGACTGGCCTATGGGACTAAATACAAAGGTTCTTCCTAGCAAGGATGGCAAGGTCCGTAAAGTGGAGTTGAAGATCTTCAGAAAGGGTGAGCTTAAAATGTTTGCAAGGCCAATTAACGAACTCATTTTGATACTACCCATCGAGAACATTCCTGCTGGGTGAACTCTCCTGAACTTGAACTTTGTGGTTCTTCTCTATTCCAATTCGGAATCTACTATATATTGTTATGTTTATTGCATTCTAACATGTTCTTTGTTACAGGTTGTTTTATATTTTATGGACATTCGTCATAGTGAAATCCCTTATGGAATTTCAGACGGGGAGTGTGCTGTTCCCCTCATATTTGTTATTTAATTGTGCATTGTATCACCAATTCTTATTTCACCATGTTTGTTTCTATGTCTTGATCTGTTGCTGCCATCTGCTGGCCAGAATTTGTATGCTGCATGCCTCTGTTATAGCTAGTAAGTTTTTCCTCTGATGGGCGTGGTTTTAGGCAAGCCTTGGTTCTGGTCACTTCCTGCAGCCATTTTATCTGCTATATAGCTGTGTGTGACAGGACATTCAATACCCTGGGCTTGTGAAGGCATCAGTTTTTGACCAGCAGGTTAGCCTCAGGAAAGATATCACAGGACAGCATGAATACCTCTACTACCTTACAGTATTGTATCACTGTTTGTCGCTGTATTTTGGACCAAATAAACCCACGCTGATTTCATTCTCGTGTATACGTTTGGATCCATCTAATCTGAACATCTGCCGGTCCCGGTCTGCTCCACTGCTTGGATACGAAGGTAGGAAGTTACACAGCCATTATCAGTTATACCTTCATTCGCCTTCATGTGGGGACAGAACAGTATATGATATACTCCTGACCCCTGCACTCTGTACACTGGGCTGTATATGATATACTCCTGACCCCTGAACTCCTTATTCTGGGCTGTATATGATATACTCCTGAGCCCTGCACTCTATACACAGGGCTGTATATGATATACTCCTGACCCCTGCACTCTGGTCCGTTATTCACAGTTAACTCCAAACTAATGACCTGGTGAAAGCTTTTAAACTGGTGAAAGCTTTTAAATCGTCACAGACGAGCAATTTCTGGCTATGAAAGTTTGTCATCATCGCACGCCATTTTTTTTTTTGTTCAATACATTTTTTTATTATATATTTTTAAAAACACATTTATTTCGGCATGACTGAGTGACCTCAGCAACGCACCCCATGACGGAATCAATGGAAGCGTATGTGGGATGCAGAAGGGGCTCTCCCTCCACCCTCGGGGAGAAGTACGGACAGAATGTGCCTCCGCCCTCGGAGAGAAGTACGGACAGAACGTGCCTCCGCCCTCGGGGAGAAGTACGGACAGAAAGTGCCTCCGCCCTAGGGGAGAAGTACGGACAGAACGTGCCTCCGCCCTCGGGGAGAAGTACAGACAGAACGTGCCTCCGCCCTCGGGGAGAAGTACGGACAGAACGTGCCTCCGCCCTCGGGGAGAAGTACGGACAGAACGTGCCTCCGCCCTCGGGGAGAAGTACGGACAGAAGGAGCCTCCGCCCTCGGGGAGAATTGCGGACAGAGCGTGCCTCCGCCCTCGAGGAGAAGTGCGGACAGAACGTGCCTCCGTCCTCGGGGAGAAGTGCGGACAGAACGTGCCTCCACCCTCGGGGGAGTACGGACAGAACATGCCTCCACCCTCGGAGAGACGTACGGACAGAACATGGTCTACATTTATGATTTGTATGAAGTGACATGGCTCGTTAAAAACATAAAACGATTTCTAGAAAACGACTTTGTATTTATCACCTTGTGCATCCTTCCCGTGACATTGTATCATCCCACAGATGAACAGATCAAAGGACATACAGCAAGAACCAGGCATGGATATGATGTGCCCGGAGGATGGCGAATCCCAATGTGGTTTGCTGACTACGCTTCTTCAAGGGATCCGAACAGGCTGTTGGTGGAGGAAAAAAAACTAAGAACACGGAACTTCACGGGTTTTATATGGAAATCTATTCCGCCATTACATGTAAGGGAGTTTACATGATACTCACAAGGGCAAAGGAAAGAGTAGATGGCACTGTGACCCGTAATGGGAGGGGGATGGAGAGGAAGGTCCAGGGAAGGGAAGTCAGGCAAATGTATACGCCCACAATCTCAATATTCCACAAAGAGGTATAAAAGGGAGGGAAGGATCACCCAGCAACCCTCCATCAAAGCAATCCAATCAGAATGCAGAAAAAGATGGGCATGGGTTGTCTATACATGGATTGTCCATACATGGGTCATCTATACATGGGTCGTCTATATATGGATTGTCCATACATGGGTCGTCTATACATGGGTCGTCTATACATGGGTTGTCCATACATGGGTCGTCTATACATGGATTGTCCATACATGGGTCGTCTATACATGGATTGTCCATACATGGGTCATCTATACATGGATTGTCCATACATGGGTCGTCTATACATGGGTTATCTATACATGGGTTGTCTATAAATGGATTGTCCATACATCGGTCATCTATACATGGATTGTTCATACATGGGTCGTCTATACATGGGTCGCCTATACATGGATTGTCCATCCATGGGTCGTCTATACATGGGTCGTCTATACATGGATTGTCCATACATGGGTCGTCTATACATGGGTCGTCTACACATGGGTCGTCTACACATGGGTCGTCCATCCATGGGATACACAGCCCCACAGCTGTCGTCCTCCAGGTATGGGCTCTATGGTGGTATTGGCTCATATAGAGCCAGAAAGAAGAATGCCCATAGTGTAGTATTTCTCAGCCATAAATGTTTAATATAGGTAATGTGAAACAATAGAAACAGTATAAGAACTGTCACTGACCATGTACAGCAAAAAAAGATGGCCGCCGGACCTCCTCGTGGTCTCGGCGGCGTTACGTATGGCTCCTCCTTTACACGTTTTGTGCATGTATTCATGAGGGGTATGCACAATACCCCTCATGAATACGTGCACAAAACGCATAGAGGAGGAGCCATACGCGGTGACATCACGCCGCCGCTGAGACCACGAGGAGGTCCGGCGGCCATCTTTTTTGCTGTACATGGTCAGTGACAGTTCTTATACTGTTTCTATTGTTTCACATTACCTATATTAAACATTTATGGCTGAGAAATACTACACTATGGGCATTCTTCTTTCTGGCTCTATATGAGCCAATACCACCATAGAGCCCATACCTGGAGGACAACAGCTGTGGGGCAGAGTACCAGGGAGGAAGGAGATCTCTTGGACCTGACCAAGCTGACTACCTTTTAAGGGGGACCTCCGGTCTTATTTCATATACCATGCGCATTATGATCTGTCATCTGGTGAGTGTGCATTTTTAACATCCCTTTGACACATCACCTGTATGATCATCTGGGAACGCACGGATTACCCACAAGAGACTGTTTTTGATCACATCAGTCACTAATATCTATTTTGAACTTTTATTTGCCCTCTACTTAGGGGAGCTTTGTGATATATTTATCATCTTGTTATGTCACATGCACGGTCCCTTAATAGATGTGTGTATTGCATCTTGTCACTTTAATCAGCTATCATATGCTTATGTATACATTCATTTAGCGCTGCACCTTTGTGTTGATGTTCAGTATATCTGAGGTGTATATCAGGGGGTGCTTCTTCTTCACACGAGAGCTGGGATGTCCACCAACATTCATCTACAAGACATTTCCTGCACTCAAGGCACTAATACACCTCCAGGGTTGTGTGGGACCTCTGATGTCCAGGACTTCAGTGAGGAAGATTTCCCTCAGTCAGACCAGGAAAGTTCGTTCTCCTCCGTGTCCAATCGCAGATGACTGTAAGCAGAAGACTTCTGGGGGTTACACTTCCGCCAATCAGAACAGGAAAGCGGATCTGCCTCTGTGTGCCATCTCAGATGTGTGTTAAGATCGGACTTAGTTTGAAAAGATTTATCGCATTTAGGACAGGAATACGGCTTCTTCCCCGTGTGCAATCTCTGATGTTTGTAAAGATGGGGCTTCTTTGAAAAACATTTCCCGCACTCAGAACAGGAATACGGCTTTTCTTCTGTGTGCACTCTCTTATGTCTGTTAAGACTGGACATATCGGAAAAACATTTCCCGCACTCAGGGCAGGAATACGGCTTCTGCCCCGTGTGCAATCTCTGATGTGTAACAAGTTGTGATTTTAGTAAAAAATATTTCCCACACTCAGCACAGGGATACGGCTTCTCTCCCGTGTGAGATCTCTGATGTATGGAAAGATTGGACTTCTGTGAGAAACATTTCCCGCACTCAGGACAGGAATACAACTGCTCCCCCGTGTGCAGTCTCCGGTGTGTGTTAAGATTGGACTTAAATGAAAAACATTTCCCGCACTCAGGACAGGAATACGGCTTCTCCCCTGTATGAGATCTTTTATGCTCATTAAGTTGATTTTCAAAATAGAAACACTTCCCACACTCTGGACAGAAATACAGCTTCTCTCCCTTGTGCAATTTCTGATGTTTGTAAAGACTGGACTTCACTGAAAAAACATTTCCCGCACTCAGAACATGAATATGGCTTCTCTCCCGTGTGCATTCTCTTATGTCTGTAAAGACTGGACATAGCTGTAAAACATTTCCCGCACTCAGAACAGGAATATGGCTTCTTTCCTGTGTGCATTCCCTTATGTCTGTTAAGACTGGACTTCTCTGAAAAACATTTCCCGCACTCAGGGCAGGAATGTGGCTTCTTCCCCGTGTGAGATCTCTTATGAAGATCGAAAATGGATTTAAAACGGAAACATTTCCCGCACACAGGACAGGAGAAGCTCTTCCCTATTGGAAGGCCAGCCCGGTCCCGCACAGTCTGAGGTTCCTCGGGATACGAGGAATCCGATGGTCCATCTACACTGGGTGGTGCCGGATGGACATTGGAGGGAGCCGGGTTTTCTCCTGGACTATACTGTGTGATGTCCTCATCTTCTACTTTCCAGTCTGGAGACAAAGTGAGACAATCCTCAGAGGTTTTCCTCATCTCCCGGCCATGGACTAAAAGACAAAGAGGATTACTAGACAGGAGCTGATTGGTTCCCCCAAACCAGGACTCCACCCACATCAGGCAGCTTGGTCTCTGAGGAGCTTCCAATTCCACCCTCAAGGGAACAAGGCAATGGGTCAGTGACCAATCAGTGAGCAGTATGGGTGGAGGAATGGATTTAGTGTTCATGACCCACCTGTGCTGATCTCTGTAGGAGTGTCCTCCTCTATAAATGTCCCCGTTATTCCATCCTCCTCCATAGACTGCTGATCATCCCTCACATACGCCTCTTCTTCTTCTGATTTCACCTCAAATTCTATATCGATTGGATCTCCACTCTACATCAAGAGAAGGAGAGAAAATATCATCTGTAGGATAGAAGATTTATTATTGTGACATCACATAGAAAATCCGCACATCGTCTCCATGAGTCCATGTTCTAGACTCTCCGTCCCACCAACCTTGTAATAGTGAGGGATGGTGTGACCTTCCTGTGTGGAATCCTGGGAATACAGAGGATGGGGACATCTCTCTGCTGGGTTCCTGTAGCTGGATGACTCCACCATGGTGTCCTGGTACAGTTCATTGCGTCCTTCTGGAATCTCTGACTCCTCCATCACATCATGCTTCTCTTTTATCTCTTCTTTAATATTGACCTTTGTGGAATCCCGGGAATACAGAGGACGGGGACATCTCTCTGGTGGGTTCCCATGACCGGATCCACCCACCTGATGATGGTGAGGGATGGTGTGACCTTCTTGTGTGGAGTCCGGGGAATACAGAGGATGGGGACATCTCTCTGGTGGGTTCCCATGACTGGATCCATCTACCTGATGATGGTGAGGGATGGTGTGACCTTCCTGTGTGGAATCCCAGAAATACAGAGGATGGGGACATCTCTCTGGTGGGTTCCCATGACTGGGTCCATCTGTAGGAAACACACACACTGACTGAATCCATTGTTTCTATGTGTTTATCAGATGATGGGGGATCTAGGTGGATCCTCCGTACTGCTCTCTCCTTTCCAATAAAGTCTCCTCTTACCCGGTGATGTGAGGGGCGGCTGATTGTCTATCATGACGTCCTTGTAGAGGTCCTTGTGTCCTTCTAAATACTCCCTCTCCTCCATGGAGAAATAGACAGTGACACCTTATAGGAAGAGAACAGACATTACTATGAAGGAAGAGGATGGGCGTGACGGTGGAGGAAGAGGACGGGCGTGACGGTGGAGGAAGAGGACGGGCGTGACGGGGGGGGTTACTGGGTGTAAATATAAAATCAGATCTTATTACCTCCTCTGCTACCACGTCCAATGTCTCCTCTACTTCCTCCGGACTCACCTCTCACCCAGAACTTCCTATTTATATCTGACATCACTTCCTGTCTGTCCCTGACATCACTTCCTGTCTTCCATAGGGACTTCCTGTCTGGGTAGAAGAGAGATCCCCATCTTGTGGAGTTCAGAGGAACTGCAGTCCCGAGAACCATCTGGTAGTGTGACCCCGGCCTTGTGCTGGGTGTGTATGGACTGTATGTCCTCATAGAGGTGTCACCTCCACTCCCACCAAGGGGGACAGAAATAGATGACTGCCTAGTCCAGCCTTTCTCAGCCAGAGGTCCTCCAAAGGGTTCTAGGTGTTCCTCCAAAGGGTTCTAGAGGTTCCTCCAGCAATGAACAATTTCTGTCTCTCAGTAACAACTCACATCAATGATCTGTAAGGAGGGCAGTCTTCCCACTGATGACCATGTAGGAATGCCCTTCCCCCACTGACCACTGATATAAGGGGGTCCTTCTCCCATCAGTCACCAATGTAAGGGACCACTACAGTGACCACGGATATAAGGGGGTCCTTCTCCCATCGGTCACCAATGTAGGGGCCACTACACTGACCACTGATATAAGGAGGTCCTTCTCCCATTGGGACCATTACACTGGCCACCAGGAATGGGCCCCAACTTGTGTCTGATCTGGCTGAACTAAATAGGCAATCATCTGAGTTGAACCTCGTACTATCACTGCTAATTACTATCCCCCCCCATCTCCTCTTGGACATGCAGACTACATATTTAGATTTAGGGTCTCCCGGATTTCCTGGGGGGGCCTCATAAATTTTTTTTCTTGTGTGAGGATCCCCCTTATAATCCACAGTGGACTGGAAAGATCTGATATGTAATTTTGGGGTGCAAATGTTTGTTTGTTTTTCCCATTTTTGCTGTAGGGGGCGCTACAGGAAAGGTCATATTTACAAAGATAAAAATTATACAAATTTGATTGCCGGGAAATGACATTTATTTGCACACAAACTCCCCGCAAAATAAATAGCAGACCATGTGAGATATCTGTGGGCTTTTTTGTTTTTTTTAAGAGGTTGGCAGTGAAATGTCATTTTTCAGCAACTTTCAACACTTTTTTCCTTTGGAAATGTCACCCCTCCCCCCCCCCCCCCCCCCTCCATGTTTTCTTTTACACCCCTTTGCCTATTAGCCCAGAAAAATAAGCATTTTTAATTTGACGGACTCAGTTCAATGTAGTTCAGGTTTGGCAATCTGAAGTTCTTAACAGCATCATGGGCCCCTGGGGCAAAGTCATGCACTGGGGCCCCTACCAACCTGGTCCAATTGACACACCTCCTCTTAAGAACTAATGTATAAATCGTTGGAAGAAATATATTTCTGGGAACTTTCAATAAAATCAATTTTAAACAATAAGAAAACATAAATCAAGGACTAATCAACACAAAGGGTGCAGTAGAGGGGGAGTCAGGAGGGCATAGTACAGGTTCTGGGAGGTTGCCCGGGCCGTTCCAAGACAGCTTATTATAAAGCGTGACTGTCCCGGATTTGCCCAGGCCTTTCCGAGATGGCTTATTATAAAGCGCGACTGTCCCGGCAAATGCGGGACAGTTGGCAAGATGCAAGATTAGATGCACGCGGGGCCCCTGGGTAGTGCCCATGTTGAGGTTCCTTGAAGTATGCTGGACCCTGCTCAAACCAAACCCTGGGCAGGTCAGCTCATCCCTTTTGGAGAATCAGTGGCCACAGGCATCCTCGGAGCTAGTAACCCATCCCCACCCGTCCCATGCAGCCAGGCATTCCGGGCCCACAGCTGAATGTAAACAAAGAGACGTGAAGCCAATCTTTTCAGGAGTGACCCAATCCTCACAGACGGCACAGTCTATCTGTTCATGAACAGGGAATGTTTGGTAAGGCTTTGCCGATCTCTTGGTGCCCAAAGGGTGACGGTGAAATGGAGGAGAGCCAAGTGGAATAATGCTGAGGATTTTGGGGACAGAGGCGATGAACTTTTCAGTGTTAGCAAGCATGTTGTGTGAAGCTCCTTCTTCATCATAATGACAATGTGGAGGAGAGAAATCCTCCACACCTTCCTCCAGTATGGCCTCCTATCCTCTAGGACCGGCATATCGGGATCTGACTCCAGTTGGGAACCTGGAGTGGGGGAAGATGCGGGGCGTTCTAGAGCTCTGGATAAAGATGGATGTATTAAGGCTGTAATCTGTCCAAGGAACGGTGATAGAAAATTCTGCTTTGGTCAGGTAGGCCACATGTTGGGTGCCTGACATAGAGCTAGAGCTCTGGAAAAAGATAGCTGTATTAAGGTTGTAATCTGTCCAAGGAACGATGATAGAAAATTCTGCTTTGGTCAGGTAGGCGACATGGTGGGTGCCCGAGATAGAGCTAGAACTGGATATGGACATTGATGGTAAAACCGGGTCCTGCTCCTGGACACATTGTCACTCTGCACTGAGTGTAGAGCGGACCTTCTCAGGATGTTCTCCTGTGATTTAGAATTGGTTCCCTTGTACTTGGTCTCCACCAAAGCTACAAGTGAGGGTATTCCCCTGTGGGGTATTCATAGGATGAGGGAGATACGGAAAGTGTGTCTTGAAGGAGTGTGCAGTAACCCCGGTGTAGACCATCCCGCAATAAGTCCTTGTGGAATGGCAGCAACTTATAAGGGCTTTAGGTGGAAGTGGCCTTAAAGGGTGACAGGAACAGTAGCCTTAAAGGAACGGTGACAGAAAATTCTGCCTTGGTCAGGTAGGCCACATTGGGTGCCCGAGATAGAGCTAGAACCAGATACAGTGGAAAAATGGAGTCCTGCTCCAGTACAAGGAACACATTGTCACTCTGGGGCTGAGTGTAGAGTGGACCTTCCCAAGATGTTCTCCTGTGATTTAGAATTGGTTCCCTTGTACCTGGTCTCCACCAAAGCTACAAATGAGGGGTATTTCCCTGTAGGGTCCACCAAAGCTACAAGTGAGGGTATTCCCCTGTGGGGTCCACCAAAGCTACAAGCAGGGTATTCCCCTGTGGGGGACTCATAGGATGTGGGAGACAGGGAAAGTGTGTCTGGAAGGAGTGTGCGGTAACCCAGGTGTAGACTGTCCCGCAATAAGTCCTTGTGGAACGGCAACAACTTATAAGGGCTCTAGGTGGAAGTGGCCTTAAAGGGTGTGACCAGTGGTGTCATAAATGTGCATTTTAAAACATGTTAGAGGGCTAGAAGGAATCACTCTCCATGGTCACACTCTACACATTAGAGCTCCCCCTAGCTGCATCCAGGTAATAACATTGCTGGGAGGTCTACTCATAGAGCTGCTCCATACTTCCCACCATGAACTGCTTCCCGCCTGGCCAATAGCAAAATGATGGCCGGGGAAGGAGCTCTCCCATTCTGGTTGGACGTCCTCCACAGAAAGTACCTTGTAGGCACCCCAC